ATGAAATTAAAGGAAGTTGCAAATTACAAAACTAGATTACCAAAAAAAAATACAAAAATTAATAAGAGCTATAAATTTGTGAACTTTGTTCAAGAATTACTTATACAAGATGCACAAATCTGTCCGTATTTGTCAAAATATGGAAATATGGCTTATTGTATGTAAAAATCAGCTATGTGGTTTTAAAAGATTATGATATCAGATTTAGATAGATTTAGTTAGATTGTGATATCATTCAAAAACCCGTAAGCCTAATCTTGCCCAGAAAAATTTATTTTTGTTTGTCGAGGATTTAAACTTTTAATAAAGTGTCTTAACGCAGTGAGATCTCAAAGCTCTTTAACTTGCTGATAAAGCGCTTATGATTGCTCAATTTTTAGTAATGACAAGCTCTTAATCAGCAGGAACAGCAGTTCAACAAGGTTTTCACTTATTTTTGGTCTTACCAAATAGATGATCTTTAAGAGTTGATCTGTAAACTTTGTAGATTTCAGAGGCCCTTTTAAACGGAATACTAGCAATGGCCTTCAAAGCCTCGTCCACTTGCTCTATAGATTAGTAGGGAGTTTGTCACGTGACATTTTATCGCGAAAAAAATTTATTCAAATGTTTTTAAAAAACTTCGTCCAAAAAACGCAAGAAATGATTTTATGTAGGTGTCGAAGAATAAAAACCCACCCATGAAAATTAATAGTATATACGTATATATAGATTTTATTCTTTTAAGAAAATAATGTACTACAATAATTTGTTTGGGGGCGACGTTTTACTTTAGAATTTATAAAGTTATTTAATTTTAAATGTTTCATTCTTGTGTAAATACCAATAAATTAAAATAATTCTTTCGTCCTCACATAAAGATAGATTCTGCAACTATTTATTTATTATGTGAATAAGTTTTTTTTTTTTTTGTAGTTTAATAGGGTGGTTTTTTGTTTTTTAAGTGGAAATTTTTTAAATTTCCCCCCTCTTTAGATATTTTTGAGTTGATAAAGTAACTTTTCTGTTTTTCTTTAAGAAGTAAACATCTAAAGATTTTTTCACACATTTTCATACATGAGTTTTATTTTTTATATACCTGAGATTTTATTACAAATTTTTTTCTGACAGCATTTTGAAGTGGGTTAATTTTTTATGCTACTGATGTTGTTGTTGCTAACCAATTAGTAGTTTAATTACAACAGTTTATCAGTAAGTCTTATTTATAACTTAAAATTTACCTAATTTTAAAGTTATATATACATATATATATATATATATATATATATATATATATATATATATATATATATATATATATATATATATATATATATATATATATATATATATATATATATATATATATATATATATATATATATAATATATATATATATATATATACATATAAATATATGTGTTTGTGTGTGTCTGTGTGTGTGTACAGTTAGAAAAGGGTGGTTAAATTTTTTAAAATTATAAAATCTTAGAGAAACAATCAAAGCTGCCCTCAATCCTTTAATTTTCTTAACAGTAGGTTACTCTTATTTTAGGGTAGTTTAACCGCTTAGAATCTAAACAAAAAACATTATTCTAAACTGTTGTTATCGACCACCTGACGGCGCGAGCGAAAACCTAAGCATGTTTTTACACCATATTGTGGAAACAAGTGACGCAGGAAAAAAAAAAAGTTTTGTAATTGCAATATGAATTGTTTTCTTTATAACCATAAAGTTAAAAATTTTTATGATTTAATTTTAGAATTTTTTTTTAGTTTACAATTATTAATCGTAATATAACAATATATAAACTTGGTATCTGAAAGAAGATTCAAATGATCTTGTTGCGAGATTCATATATATAATAAAATAAAAATACAATTGATCTAATAACTATTAACAATGTAGAAGAAACAAAAACTGAAAATAATTTTACAAATTATCAAGAGTGGAAAAAATTTTACATTTCAATAATATTTATATATATTGCCAGTAAAAAGAATATAGTTTTTTAGTTTAGTTTTAAAAACGGAAAACGAAATTGACAAATCAAAATTTGGAACAACAATTTTGTTCCATAAATACGGTGCTCGATAGTTTAAGCAAAATTGATTAATCACTTTTACAACGAAACTTAAAACATAAAATATTATAGACATTGAGTTCGTAAACGTTAATTGCTTTACCCGCCTTAAAATGACTTACGGGACCCTTAAGGGACCCTTAAGGGACCCTTAACGATTAAGGGATTCTTAAGGGCTAATTTTTAAACTCGGGAAAAAAATTTTTTTACGGAATGATTTTGTAAATTTGCTGTTGAGAAAGCATGGTTTTAAAACTTCTTCGGAAATTCGCTTATAAGTGATCAAAATTAAGTCAAACATTTATAGTTATAATATGATTACAATTTTAATATCTATAAACGAGTTTTAAATAATCCTAATAATCCAACAAAATATTTTTTAGTGTATAAATTATTGACTTTATCATGACTTCATTGAAGTCATTTCTTGAAGTCTTTAAGAAATGATAGAAGAAAACGTGAAAATGAAATGGATACTTTTATATCGAGATTGAAAGGTAATATAGTACAAATAAGCAGAAGTTTGTTGATCTTGACAATCATGTAAAGAAAATTATTTAATATATTGTTTTTTATATCTCTATAAAAAGACAGTCTGCCGCGTATATTCTATGTAGAATTTTAAATGATCAGGTTTGAAATATTTTATGTTTTACATATTTGTTTTAGGAGAAACTGACAGCTATTTAACACAGTTTAAGACTGTAGCAGAAAATGAAAATGTTACAATTGACGAAGACTATTTTGATGAAAATGTATCTTCTATTTTTGATGAGGCGACTGGATGTGATAATGAAGGTGATGAGGATAAAAACAATGAAAGTAATTTTTCTTTTCTTATTTTAAAAAAATCAAATTTGTTGTAAATTTTACACAGTAATTTTATCAAGTGCAGTTAGTGGACTAGCTGTTGACTGTTAAACTAATGACCATTAGCAATACAAACGTTTTATACATTGCAACGATGATTAACAAGTTATCTTTTTTTCTTCAGGTGAAGTTCCATCAGAGGAGAATCATGAAAGCAACAACTTCTCATCCCTGCATACTAAATTGTTATACTTCTGCTTACTTTATAAACTCAGCAATAGTGCAATACTCTGTTTGCTTACCGTTTTAAACGAGGAAGGAGTCGATGTTCCTGTTTCAGTTTATCTTTTTAAAAAACTTTAAGTTGCAAAGAAGGTCCAGGTGTTAAAGAATACTCTAGATTGCGGTGGAAATTTTGGTTACTTATCAATTTTTGAAAATCTATTTTACTGTATTAAAAATAGTCTAGTGGTATTCAAAACGCAATACGTAGAACTTAAAATTAAAATTGGAATTAATGGTATTCCAATATTGAAAAGTTCACCGGTACATATCTGGCCAATTTTATTCATTATGAGAAATGTAGGTTTTAATAAACCTCTTCCTATTGCTGTTTATTCTGGTTTATGCAAGCCAAGTTTTTCTGGGTTTATTGAACAATTACACAAAGAGTTAGTTTTGTTTATGTATCTGGGTTTTTTTTATTAAAATAACCAATGTTTTATTTATATGTGATGCTCCAGCAAGATCATTCTCTCAGTGTGTGAAAAGTCACTCAGGGTATAATGCCTGTCCATACTGCAGGATTCCAGGTGTGTATGCTACAAATAAAGTAATATTTCCGTTTGATTTTACATATCCTTCTCGTACTGACTGTAATTATAAATCACTATCGGAATCGAACCAATTATTCTTATCTCCGCTAGCTGAAGTTGCAAATTTAAGTTGTGATTTTCCTCCTGAATATATGCACACTGTCTAGGTGTTATGAGAAGACTTATAATGTCATATTTTTCAAACAAATATGGCCGGTTAAACTGTCGGGTCAGTGAGAATCTGAAAGAACTGCTAGAACAAAGAGTTAAATTGTGGCATGGAGCTTTGCCATGTGAATTTCATAGGAAAATAAGATCTTTTCGAAATATTAATTATTTTAAAGCCACAGAATTTCGAACAATTTTACTGTATACAGGCCCTCTTCTTTTTAAAAGTATCATTCCTTTAAACTACTATAATCATTTTTGTATTTACATTTTGCTATGTATGTGTTTATTGGAACATCACACAAACATTATTATGACAATGCTACTTCTTGTATACAACATTTTCTCAATGGTTTAAAGGAACTTTTTAGTGAAAGTGCTTATACCTTCAATGCACATATGCTATCGCATTTACCAGAATTTATGCAGCAGCTAGGACCTTTAGATAAGTTTTCTGCTTTTCCCTTTGAAAATTATTTGTATTTAATAAAACAGCGTGTAAAAACTGGAACCTATGTATTTGAACAGTCCATTAACTCTGTTTTAACTATTCGAAGTTTATATTCCAATCCACCAAAAAGAATTTTTGTTTTCTCCGATAAATAATACTGCTCTCGTTGTATATCAATCAAATATTCCAATTATTATAACTTCTATTAGCGACAACCATATTGCTTCTGGATCCTTATTATTATTTAAATCCGATTTATATGTTCATCCTTATCCTTCCAGTTCAATTGGTATAGGTAGGTATATACAGTCTAATATCAATGTATAACGGATGTGAAGATCATAAATAAATGTATTTCTTTTTTGATGGCAATGAGTACATTGTTATACCATTTGCAAATAATGTTTTTAAGGATTGACAATCAATGAATTTTAATGTCATAGTTGATTTTATGATGTAAACTTTTAAATATAATAATATTTAAATTATTTTATTTTTTTTGTTTTACACATTGATTTTTATAAGAAACTAACCAATTTACTTGTAGTTATGTTTTATCTTCAAGATACATTTATATATATATATATATATATATATATATATATATATATATATATATATATATATATATATATATATACATATATATAGTATATATATGTATGTGAATATTAAAGATAATATCTTTATTATCATGTATAATACTGTATATTTAAAAATGTTCAATAGATACATTAGAGCTATATAGGATATATTACTGTTACCCCCAGTACCAGGAATCAGCTAAATTTAGCTATTTCATTTAACCTATTTTTCAAAATTTAGAACAATTATTTAAATGTCATCTACAATAGAGTATGTGTGTCAAAAATATGTTTTAACTTATCGTAAACATGACAAATCAATATCAATTGTTCATGTTGATGATGTCATTGGCTGGACTCAAGAGGAGTTTGAGAAACTCAAAATTTGTAGAAGAGTAAAACTTATGGTGAACAATGATGATAGTATGAATAGGGCTTAATTAAATCACTTTCATTTTTTGTTTATTTGATTAATTACAATTCAAAGTTTTTTTATGTATATCTCTTGTTTTATTAGGTTTTAGTTTTGCAATGCGCAACAAGTTATGAAGGACTCAAAGATACTTTAAAGTTTGTTTTTGAAATGAAAAGAAAAAAACAAACAATAGGTTTCATACAAACTCATTTCAATCCAGTCCGTGGCCTAAACAGACAAAGACTGCCCCCAGTTTATGTAAGTATAAAATATAAATAGGCTAATATATGTTTTACTATTTTCTTTGATTTAGACTTAGGCTTTCTACTTTTTGAAAGAATTTATTATTTTAATTTTTGTTTTTATTCAGCCTCTTTACACAGCTTCTGAAGGTTCAAATTTTAATACAGATCCTTCTGATTCTATCGTAATATTTTATTTAATGCAGAATTTGAAACAGAAATTAATTAATGCAGAACATTTAATTAATACTCATCTATAGAAATATTTAAATTTTTTAGGCACTGCATAATCAGGATACTGCTGCTGAAGCAGTTGCGTTAAAGCCTCTGTCACCACTTAAAACTCAAAAATTTCCTGTTTCATACAAGGTAATTTTTTTTTAATCTAGCTTCTTAGCACAGCTTCTGGAGATTCAAATTTTGATACAGATTCTTCTGAGTCAATCAGAATATTTTAAATAATACATATTAGACAATTTAGTTAATACTCTTTTATCTATAAAAATATTTTAATTTTTTAGGCATTACATAATCAGGATATGGCTACTGAAGCAGTTGCTTTAAAGCCTCTGCCACCACTTATAACTCAAAAATCTCCAGTTACATACAAGGTAATTTTTGTTTTTATTCAGCTTCTTAACACAGCTTCTGGAGATTCAAATTTTGAAACATATTCTTTTGAGTCATTCAGAATATTTTAAATAATACAGATTAGACAGTTTAATTAATACTCATTTATTTATAGAAATATTTTAATTTTTTAGACACTGCATAATCAAGATATGGCTACTGAAGCAGTTGCTTTAAAGCCTCTGCCATCACTTAAATCTCAAAAACGTCCTGGTTTACATAAGGTAATTTTTAATTGTCCACAAAATGTCCACATTTTGTATTTTTTATGTTTATTATCAATAAATATTCAACGTTTAATGGGCGTGTGTCCATTAGTCAAAAGGTTATAAAAATTTAGAAAATGTTTAAATAATTAGTCGAACTTTCTGGCAGGAAGTCTGCCAGAAAATAAAATTTAAAATTCTGCTTTCTTGGAAACACAAAAAATTGAAATACGGTTCTCGACTGACAATGCGTTATTTATAAGAATATCATTAATTGTATATAAAGTAATTTATTAACACAAAGTTCAGCAATATTTCTTCAAAATGATCGATTTTTAATAGCATGCTTTGTGTATTTTGAAGTTTTTAAACACAATTGATTTTATTGTTTTTGTTTTTGATAAATAAGTTGATAAATGAGACACTTCTTATTTAATCTGATGTAATTATAATTTATGGTTTATTAGTGTTGATATTTTATTTTTGGAAGGTTCAAAGCGTACAACTACCTTTATCTACCTAACCAATTGTAAGTTTTTAAACATTTTAATCTAGTTGTATTTAAATCAAAATAAATTTAATTCTGGAATGTCTTTTAATTTCTTATAGGTTTCAAATGTTACACGAACAGATATTCAGTCAATTGTATGCTGTTAATTATTCATTGTTCATATATAAAAATTATTTTGAAGACATGTATGTGTATATTTATATATATATATATATATATATATATATATATATATATATATATATATATATATATATATATATATATATATATATATATATATATATATATTTATATATATTGTGGTTATCATAACAGGACAGTTTCTTATGAATGCATACATTCTACGTGAATTGACATCAATTCAGTCTAAGTTAAATAATCTGGAACAAAGACAGGGAAGATTAGAGGCACGTGTTTGCAGTGTTCCTATTGATCAGAATACCTCAAATATCCAATTTCCTGTTTTTATCTCTCCGATGCAATATTCTGAAGTTGCTAAGCACCCAAAGGATATGGTAAGTTATGCGAGTATACCCATGTTGTGTTGGATTGCCGAGAAGTACATCTCTTAAAAAAGATTTTAATATGAATGAGATATTACATTTATGTTGTTACCTGATTATTTTTAGTTGTCATGGATGAAGCTTGAAGGAGGAATGACTGTCAATGACCATATTTCTCGCGTCTTAAATAAATTGCTGACGCATGACTTGCAACGTAATATAAACAGGACCGGAAGTCATGGCAAGCTTAAGTTTTTTGATAACCTGGAAAATCTGCTCAAAAGTAAGTTTAGTTCAGATCTACTGTGAACATTTTTGTATAAATAGGAGTCTGTGAGTCAACATTTTGACTCGCTAGTGTTTGATTTAAAGACAACAAAAAGTTTGAATTAAAGACACAAAAAATTAGTCTCTTGATAAAATACTTTTATAGATGTTAGCAATTGATAAACTTTTGTGATAATAAGTTTTACTTATTATAACAACTAATTTACTTAGTTGTAGTGTGTACTTATTTCATAAAAATTATTTATATGTTAATTATTTATTTAGTTATAACAATTATATTATATACAATATGATTCATAAAACAATCTGTTTTACGTGTGAATCCGTGTGAATTAACTATATTGTTTGAACTTATGATTATATATTCAAATTAATTAATATTAAGTGATTGTTTTGTTATATTTATAGCGTCAACTATTCATTTTTTCCCCGGTACCACGACAAAAGAAATTGAAAAAGTGGCTCGATTTTTTAACAACGCCAGAGATCGCTCTGGTGGTCGAATGCAGAGAAGTTTAAAAAAGATCGATGTTTCAATCGAGGAAGACAAAGATGACGTTAGTAACGAGGGTAGTGAAGAGGGCAGTGATAACGAGACACAACAAAAAAAACGAAAAACTTTAAAATAAATATTAGTAATGTGTTTCAAGAAAATCTTTATATGGATACTTTTATTGTAAGTTTTAAAACCTAAAATAAATAATATGAATTAATAACTATAAAAATTCATAAAAAGAAGTTTTTATTGAATCACTTATTAATAAACTCTTTTAAAAATGTCAATCTTTATAAAATTATAATAATTTAACTATATAAATTATGTTAATGCTTAATATATTTAAAAAAAAATAAGAATTTAAAAAACAACCACGCCTTACTACTCATATTTTGAGTAGTAAGGCGTGTTTTTTTTTTTTTGGTCGATTAAGGGCTAGCCTTTAAGAGACCCTTAAATTCCGCGCGGACATTTTCGTCAGGGACCCTTAAGTTTTTTTAAGGCGGGTAACGTTTTTAAATAAAATATTTGAATGAGAAAAACAATTTTCAAAACATATTAAACGCATTGCGTGTTTCTGATGATGGACTACTTTTAGAGGTACTTCCCTAAACAATAATTGCATAATTTATATAACTATGAATAAATGAGTATTAGAGTTAAATTAAATTTTGTTTACTTAGATAGTATCTGACCTATAGAATATAGAATTTCAATACTTTTAGCCAATTTAGTAGAAATAAAGTCGATATGATACTTACATGGAATATTTTCATCAATGTAAATGCCTAAAAATCTTGTGACCGACTCCTTTTTTATGTCAATTTTATCAATAAAAAGTTTAGGTAAGTTATTTGGTAAAAAACGCTTTTTTGCAAGAGAGTGGAAAAGGATCCATTTTGTTTTGTCAATGTTTAAAGTTAACTTGTTGCACTTAAACCAGTTGGAGATGTGATTGAGTTCAATATTCATATTTGAAAAAAGCTCATAAATGTCACTGTTTGACAGAAATAAATTAGTATCTTCCGCAAAAATGATATTCATAAGCTTAAAAGCTTTATTTAAATCATTTATATAGACTAAAAAAAAAAAGTGGGCCTAGAATAGAACCATGTGGAACACCACATTTTATGTCAATTAATTTTTCATTTTGAAAATAACTTTCATAGAAAACAAATTGTTTTCTATTTTTCAAGTAACTTTTATACCATTTTATTAATTTGCCATTAATTCCGTAAAACTTGAGTTTTTTATGTAGAATTTTGTGATCGACCGTGTCGAATGCTTTTATTAGGTCAATGAAAATACCTAATGTATATTGTTCATATTGTATTTGGTTCATATATATTTGTTTTATTTATTTTAATTACTTTAGGAAGGGAGTTTGAATTTGTTTTTTGTTTTCCTGTCATTTCTTTCAACGTTCTCGAAGTATTTTTTGAGTCGTTTTTAAATTTACTAATTAAATTTGAATAATTATTTTTTTTTAGTTTATAATAAATTTTGGTAACTTTTATATTTTTGTTGGTTTTCATTTGATTTTGTTTTTAAATATTTTATTTAAAGTTGTTTGATTTGTTTGATTTTAGAGGATTTTCTAAGTCCTTTAGTAATCCATGGAGTATTTAAAGTTTTTATTTTTGTTATTTTTTCACAAAGTGGAAAGTTTGCATCGTATATTGAGAAGAACGTATCAAAGAATTTATTATATATTGTATTTGCGTCTTCATTAAAGTTAATATGTTTCCAATGCAGAAGTGATAATTGATATTGGAAGGATTCTATATTGCTCTTATTGAAGGCACGTTTTTTTATTATATTTTGTCTTTCGGGGTTATTAGAGGATACAGTATGGATTGTTAGAAAAATGGGGAAATGATCAGATATGTCGGTTTTTATAATTTCTTTTACAAATTTCCTATTATAAATATCTGTTGTAAAAATATTATCAATGAACGTAGTTGATGTTTTGGTTATTCTAGTAAGGCGATTAATTAAAGGAAGAGTTTCTGTCATAAATATTTCATCATAAGAACTTTTTACTTTTTTATCTTTATTGCAAATTAAACAGTTCATGTTGAAATCTCCAATTATAAAAGTAATTTTGTTTTGTTTGCTACCTTTGTGAATGATATTTTGCTGTAAAAAGAAACTAAGATTTTCAGACGCACCATCAGGTGGTCTATAACAGCAGCTTAATAGAATACTATTTTTTTTTTGTTTGAAATTTCAATAGTTACAATTTCTTTATCAGAGTCAGAAACGCACATATTATTCCTAATGTTATGTACAATGTGTTTCTTAACGTAAATCAGAACTCCTCCACCACGTTTATTTGTTTGTCTTTCTAATAAAATTGTTTCAAACCTGGAAGATGGAAAATAGAATTATATTTAAAATCATTCGAAGAAATCCACTTTTCTGTTAAGTATAAAATCCACTTTTCTGTTATGTTAAAAATATTTTCAGTTTCATCTCAAAAATCACAAAACTTTCCAAAATTTTCATTTAGACTTCTAATATGAATGTAAAGGATTTTTTGATTTTCAGTACCATTTTTATTAAGAAATAATAAACTAGTAATAGTAATATAGTAATATATTTAAATAAGTCTTTATACATTACATGACAAATAAAAAAAACAACCAAATAAAAGATTAAAAAACAAAAGCATTTTTTTTTTATTTTTTTTTTTATTATTATTTTTTTAATTAATTAATTTTTTTTTTTTAATTTTTTTTTATTTTATTATTATTTTTTTTTTCTTTTGCTTTAATTACAAATTCATTTAATTACAGTTTACGTTTTTTTTTTTTTTTTTTTTTTTTATTTGCATTCACTCCCAACAAGGCTGCAAGCAACCACTATTAAGTTGGGAGTTACTAGGAAAAAAAAGAACAGAGTTATAGAGCAAGGAAACGGTTGACAGAAGACTTGAAAAGTTGAAGGTTGTAGGAGTCAGGAAAACATGAAGATGGGAGAGAGTTCCAAAGGATTGAAGTGCGGGGAAAAAAACTAGATGAATAAAAGTTTTTAGAGCATGCTGGGACAGATACAGTAAACGAATGAGACTTAGCTGAATGACGAGTAAAACGAGAATGAATTTTAGTTGATGGAACTAGAGATGATAACTCCTTTGAGCAGTGACCATGATAGTATCTGTAGAAAAGAGAAAGAGATGCAACTTTACGACGATGGGAAAGAGGTTCAAGCTTAGCAGATAGTCCAGGTCCAACAACATTTACAATGCGTTTTTGGACCTTGTCAAGAAGAGAAAGTGAATCGTTAGAAGAACCAGCCCAAATATGACAACAGTATTCCATACAGGGACGAATAAGAGATTTGTAGAGATAGAGAATGGAATCAGAAGTAAGGAAATGGCGAGCACGATAAAGAGAAGCAACCTTAGCAGAAGCTAATTTAGCAATCGATTGTATATATGGTTTCCATGAAAGGTCAGTAGTAAGCGATAATCCAAGATGACGTAAAGAGGACGACTCAGTAAGAGGATTGCCATTCATTAATATAGGAATGTTGACCATATTACGGTAGTTGTTTGCAGTAAGCAATTGGGTTTTTTTAAAGTTGAAATTCACAAGCCACTGTGAACCCCAATCTATTACTGAAGTGAGATCAGATTCAAGATCAGCTGCTTGTTCTAGGCGATCGAAAAGAGAAGACTTTTTGTCAAGACAGGAGTATAAAGTTGAGTCATCAGCAAAAAGAGCTACTTTAGATGAAAGGTTGTCAGGAAGATCGTTTATGTAGATAAGAAACAAAACAGGGCCCAGGATGGAACCTTGGGGAACCCCAGAAGTTACTGGAAATAAAGAAGAGTGTTGGCCTTCAAGGATGACTTTAATAAACCGGTCAGAAAGAAATGATTTGATAATCTCAAAAACTTTCCCAGAAACACCATATGAAGCAAGCTTATGGAGTAGACCAGCATGCCAAAACTTTGTCAAAAGCTTTAGATATGTTGAGAGCAATAGCCCTAGCCTCACCGCCTTCATCTAATGCACGATAAAATCTTTCAGTTACAGCAGTTAGCAAGTCAGTCATAGAGCGAGAGGATTGAAAACCGTATTGATTGTCTGACAGTAGTTTATTTGACTCAAGATGAGATGTGAGGAATTTGTTGATCAAAGACTCAAAGACCTTGCTAATAACAGAAAAAGACTGATCGGACGATAATTGGAGGGGTCAGAATTTTCTCCAGAGTTTTTGAATATTGGAACCACAGATGCCATTTTCCAACAAGCAGGAAAACAAGACTCAGTCAAACACTTGTTAAATAGTTTAGAGAGAACTGAAGAAAGTTCTGGAGAACAATTCTGCAAGACTGTGACAGGAATGTTGTCTGGACCACAAGCTGTAGACGAGTTTAATTGAGATATGACTTTAGCAACAGAAGCCGGAGTGATTTGAATGTCTAACAATGGGTCAACCTGTTTGACTGGAATGGAAGGAAGAGAATGTCCATAAGATTCAAGAGTGGAATTAGAAGAAAAGTTCTTTGCAAACAGTTCTGCCTTATCCCTGGGAGAGGTAACAAGATCAGTCCCATGAATGAGAGATGGAATGTTAGATCTACCCTTGTTAACAATGTTGTTGAAGATTTTCCAAAAGTCTTTAGAGCCTAACTTCTGCGATAAGATGCGAGATTTAGTGAACTGAGAATAATGGAGTTTAGCATCAGAAAGCACCTTTTTACATCGATTTCTTGCAATAATAAATAGCCGTTTGTTCTCAAGAGAGTTGTTCTTTTGAAAAAGATGAAAAAAATGGTTACGATTGGATATAGCAGCCGCACAAGAAGGAGAAAACCATGGAGTAGAATGAGGCTTGACTTGAAACCGACGAGAAGGAATAAAAGCTTCCATTCCAGCCTGAATCCAGGAGGTTACGTAGGAGGCGCATTTGTCAGCTGAGAGAGAAAAAACATCAGCCCAAGGACCATCACGAAGAAAATCACGAAAGGAATCCCAGTCAGCTTTAGGGTAGTAGTAGGTGGTGCGATAATAAGGTGAGCCCAAAAAAGAAGTACGAGAAGAAAGATTTACAGAGATCATTGCGTGGTCAGAACCACCTAAGGGAGAAAAGGGAGAAACTGAACATAAGCTAGGGTCAGAGACAAGACATAAGTCAAGGAGTGAAGGTAAATGATTAGGGTTGTCAGGAAAACGAGTCACAAAGTTAA